AAAAAAAAAAAAAAAAAAAAAAAAAATATATATATATATATATATATATATATATATATATATATATATATTTATTAACTTGACTGCTACATTTACACAAAGTTAATATTCACGTCATTTGAATACTAATTAAGCATAGTATTAACATTAATAATACAAACACAAGCAGTTAACAAGCACTGTTAGAATGAACAACATCTACCTCGATAGAAATGTAATGTTCCCAGAGCGTTCTCCGAATGTTAACACATTCAATCTCTCAAAATCTCAGCAGAGGAGGAATAAACAACCAGCTTCACTTATTACTAACCAGTTTGTCTAAAAAAAGTTATTTAGAACAGAGGTTTAGAAGTTGAATGTTTCATTTAAAGTCACCATTAATGTGATCAGTGTTTGCATTAGTTAGGCTCTTGACCCTTGACATTGCAACATTAGTGTTTGATTTTTTTTTCTGGCTGTTGTAAATCTGTGCTATAACAAAATAATTGTTGTCATTTTAGCGGCCACAGTGTCTTGTTTCCTACTCAGGGAACCATGGTTGCATACGTAATCTGAGACATCACCTGTCTGACATTTTCACCATCAGCCTTATTCAAGTCATGCAATTTGGAGGACCATCATCGAGTGTAACGTTGAGCCTCTGCTATATTAGACTTCAAAGTCGCGTTTATAGCCTTTAGAGCTTGCATTTCTATCTCCATCAGGGATAACCGTTCGTCATGAGAGTTAACTTTGACGATTAGCTGTTGCACAGAAGTTACTAAACTGTCCACCTTGGCCGAAGTGAGCTCTGTAGTTTTCTCAATCTCCGAAACCTTTAAATGCGTTTGATCGAGTTTCAAGCCAAGTGCATGGATAGCTTCGAGCACTTCCGAAGTATTCTCGGAATCAGGTTTCGCACCGACTCGATTCCTTTTTTGAGCTGGAGAATCAGTTTTTTGGGGTGTTTCAGGCAGACTAGGGAAATCGGCCAGGCAAGGGGGCTCCATAACGGACTCACGAGCAAGTTCCATCTCGTTAGCATCAGCATTGTGAGGAGAGGAGTGTTTCCTACTTCTCCTTTTGCCAATCCAAAATGTTTATTTCTTCAATACCATTAAGATGTAAGAGGTATCTTCATATTAAATAAAATAAAATAAAAGCTGGGACGTAATTTCCAGCTGCAAACTCCACGTCTACCAAGGACAGAGAAAAAACATGTCTGACTAGAAGGACGCCATCTTGGAACCCCCAATGGATGTCACCTTATTGGGACAATAAATCCCTCCCTACACGTACCCTAACCCTACCCGATACTTTAAGTTCAACTTTTAGATTATTTCCTTCATTATTATTGAAAATACATGTCATTCTGATGTGATATCTGATTTGAAAAGGTAAGAAAAAGTTTGTCAAAACAAAGATTTGAACACCAGTCGATCGTGTCAAACACAACATGTACTTCACCATCTGCACCACACTGGAGCTGTTATTAGACGATAGTCTTTTGTAATGCTTTGTAATCACACGCTGATGGGTGGAGTTAGTGTAAATAACCTCTGCCAACAAGGCGGCCTATTTGCACTTGTAAATAGACCATTTTTATTTGTGAACTGATGTTCAGCTGTTCTTTTTAATAGTCAACTTATTTCCGGGTCATCATCAAAATAAAACTTTATAAATTAAACATTGTTTCTAGTTGATCTAAAATAAAATATGCTATATAAATAAATATTCTCCGTGAGATCAGAGCCCAAAGCTTGTGGCTAGTAGTGTCCGGACCGGAGTTTGAACTGTGAACTGATGTTCAGCTGTTCTTTTTAATAGTCAACTTATTTCCGGGTCATCATCATAAAAGCCCTGTAAACATTGTCACAGTCATGAATATACATCTTTCATTTCATCAAGTTGAATGCTCACTAAAAACTGACAGTCATCACGTTTTCAAGCCATTTCATGTTTCATTTTGACATGACACAAAGCAGTGATATCTAAGCAGGAGAGTTGCTTACTTACATTATAATTAGTCAATAACATATAAACGGGAATCACCCACGAGCTCTCCCGCAAGCCGTCCCAGCGCAGCGCAGGGGAAAGATTTAACTCTATCGCTTTGTTCCAAGTAACGGGGGCATCCCGGGGCATGAAATTGGCAGTGTAGGAGGGGGTAGTGACGCTGGGTGTAACTAAAAAGGTACCATTGTCCGGTGAGGTCTGGTTGGGGAGTTACGGAACGGTCTCAAATCGCATAATCTTATTAACTGTTTATCTCCTGAACAGCAACTTTCTTTACCACGTTATTCATTGTCAGTCCCGCCGTGCAGTCAATTTCACTGGTTAAGGTTAGGGTCAGGTGTGGGGTAGGTTTAGGGGTTAGCATTTTTGTAGCATAGTGTAGGAAATCAACACTTTAATTGACACAACCAATAAAAACTTTAGAATCAGCTGTGGGGTGGAGTTTGCACTGAAGTGGATTGTGGGAAAAAATTGCGCATGCGTGTCATGTGCCTGTCTGTCAATGGGAGGAAGCCACGCCCTATTTTGGAGCTCCCACCCCATTGTGGAGATCTCCAGGCTGCAGTTATACCCTTCTCTAAAATACCACAGCACAATACAATACCAACTGATTCAGTGCTTTCTGATAGTGGCACCTGGTGGCCGAGGTTGGTACTGCATGCTAATGCTAGTTTAGCTTTTTTTCCCCCTTTTGTTGCCTTGTGGAGAAAAATAATAGTTTTTGAAGAGATAAAGTTTTAGGAGAGAGAAAAATCGCAAATGGCTGCAATATAACAAAGAGTGAAAAATTTAAGGGGGTCTGAATACTTTCCGTACCCACTGTATATATATATATAATATGGCTCCTGTTAATGTTGCTAACATCTGAAAGTTTGGATGCATATTGATTTATAAGCAGAAAGACAAATATCATGAATGTGTAGAAAGAGTTCATGTGAATATAATTACCTGCACAGTATGCTGAATTAAGTTTTAGGAGAGAGAAAAATCTAGAACTTTAGCTCAGGAAGGATCTGATCATTTATATATATATATAAAAAAAATTAATAAACACACACACACACACACACACATATATATATAACAGTATATTCAGCCTGAACAATTAAAACATTCATAACAATATGTTGTTCTTCATAACCGACACATTTGTACATAGAATCTGAAAATTGTACATTTGTAAACTGCACACTTTTAAATAACATATCTGTACATTCATTTAAACAATATTTCTAAACTATCTTTCTACTTCTGTATATGCGTTATTTAATTGTCTGTTTTTCTTATATTAGTGTTATATTTCTAACTCTACGGTGTAATTCCTATGTACGTCTGCACTATCATGGATGTCTGCTCTATGTTTGCACTTTCTTCTGCACGGGAAGCTCCTGTGGTCAAGTCAAATTCCTTGTGTGTGTAAACATACTTGGTAATTAAGCTCTTTCTGACTTCTGACTTCTTGATGATAATTAGTTCATTCGTTACATCAGTATCATTCAGTTAATGGTATTTGCTAACATATTTTTTTTCAAATTACAAACCCTAAAAAAGTAATATATTTTAAAATGCCTTTATTTCATACTAGTTCAAATCTATTAACATTTTATTTACTTTATTGTCTATTTACTGACATATCACTTAATACTTACTGATATACAAATTATAATTAAACTTTTTTTTGGAGTACTACTTGTGCACAATGCACATTTCTCAATATTTAGCCTAAAATGTATTTTAATGTCACTATTTAAAAGAAAGAAGGAAAGAAAGAATCTAAAGGTGACTACTATCACTCAATCTCCTTGCAGTCAGAATCTGTGAACAATCATACCATCACACTCATGCATCGCCCTCGAAAATGAAAATGTCTGCAATGATCCACAAACATTCAATCAAAACACAAATCAACAGAGGAAATATCAGACTACATTACCAGCTGGGCTCGTCTCTGGTGTGACTGTTGTATGAGTGCTGCTGATGTTAGTAACAGCTGAAAAAAATAATGACTGATATCAATGAATCAGCAATCACACAAATAAAACAGAGGCTTTCAGGCAGATTTCTTTGACCCTAGCAACACATGATTGCTGAAATATGATTGGATAAAAGCTCTAACATAAACATACACTACTGGAAGCACTACAACCAAGAGAAAAGCTGTGAAATGAAGAGAATAGACTATTGGAAATAATTTAATACACATTTATTCGAAAAATATATTAAAACTAAGTCACTGCTTCTGATAGTGTTTAGGACAGCAGAAAAGGCTTTGCTGGCCCTGACTGCCCACTATTGATATAAAAAAGTTTTGGCAGTGACATAAATTTTGTGTTTTGCAAAATTTGCTGCTTAAGCTGGACTGTTGTATGAGTGCTGCTGATGTTAGTAACAGCTGAAAAAAATAAAGGGCTGATGAATATCAATGAATCAGCAATCAAACAAATAAAACAAAGAGTTCATGTGAATATAATTACCTGCACAGTATGCTGAATTGCAGAAAGTTGGTCTAACCAGCTCATAGACATAATAATTGCCTGGACAGGCTTTGACTTTAATGGGGTAAGACCCGAAAAAGCAGCAGTAATTGCTCCAGTGACCGCAGATATCTCGAGTGACGACTCCATCTTCAACTGTTGGGTGTCCACCACGAATCCACAGTGGGACAGCAGTGCCACAGCTATACCGAGCAACACACGTGTCTGGGATCTGAGCGCTCAAGTTGTTAATGAAGAGACGATACCAGCTGCTGGAGGTGAGATCACTGTCACACTTGTAGGAGCTTGATAGGCGACTGCTGTTGGCTCTCCATGGATCGTCCAGCACAGTGTAGTTGTAGCAGGGGTCAATGGAAGAATACACTACAAAAAATAAATAATAATAATAATAAAAATAATAATAATCCCATAAAAATCTGTATTTTTCTGGCATTAGGAAAACAAATATGTTAAATAGAACAGTACTGTTGAATTAAAAGCAAAGATAATCTGAATAAAAAATTGACAATGAAAACAGTAATTTCATTGTAAATTGCCTTAAACAATAAAGAAAACAAAACAACAACTAATATTTATGCTGTGTTAATAACGTGATTACAGTATCACTGTGAACTTCATTTGAGTCAACTAAACAAATAATATTTCTGTACATAAAATTAATCTAAACACTATGTGTATCTGAAACTCTTAGGCTTAGGGTTTCAGAATCTGGCAGTAAGTTTTGGGAGTTCATTTTTAGTCCATCTTCTATCCTAAAAAGTCTGTCTTGCAGAGATTGACTAAAAATGAGCTGCTAAAACTTACTGCCAGATTCTGGAAGATAAATTCTCCAAAACAGTGGTATAAGAGGATGTGGTGCTGGACCTTCAAGAGTCACTCTCAACTTTTCTGTATATAAAGCCTATAAAAAGTAGTCTTTGTGTATTTCACAACACTTCAGCATGTTATTCTTATTAAGTGAGTGTCATTTTTTAGGATATTTTTACCCAAGCAAAATCTCTGAGAACCTGACACCTTGCACTTCTGGAGACTCCAGGAAGGTTGCAGTTCTGGAAAATGGTGGAACTGGAGACTAAATGGTTCCTGATGGTTTTACGCCTAATTCTTCACATTAATTCTTAATTATTTTGCAGTTAACATGCATCTTTTCTTCTCTACCTGTTTTTTTCTGACCCTGCTGACTCATTGAGCATTTTGCTGTCCAATGGTCACGTCTTAACTTTTCAATTTCTGTATTGCATTAGTTTTGAATATTTCTCATGGGCATTTAATAATTTTTGACTTTTCAGTCTGAGTTAAATCACTTTTTTGGCTCATTTTATCTGTAAAAGAAAACATGCCTAATAATTCTGCACACCTGAATATAAGAAGTTTTTCACTTCCAGCCTTCATGGACAATACAGTCTCCTTCAGAAATGAAGACAACTTTACTAATCAGCAGAAACGTGTTTATTTCCCCAGATTTAAATTCGAATACAGGTCCAAATGCACAGAAGCTCAACACGCCAATCTACAGATCTGATCATGTACAGTTAAAATACCACAGCACAATACATTACCAACTGACTCAGTGCTTTCTGACAATGACCTGGTGGTCGAGGTTGGTACTGCATGCCAATGCTCCAAAAGATAAAAAATAGCCGAATAATATTTTTTATATTTGATACAATCACACTGGTGTGATAATATGCTCAGTGCCTCACATAACCAGCAGCTAAATTCAAATCTGCGTTCGCCTGGCTGGCGCTGAGCCAGAAACACACAGCTAACCAATCACACATGATTCTGTTGTGACCAATCAGAGGCATTCAGATGAGTCCTCGCTGAAACTCCGGTGTTTTTTTCACTCGCTCGCTGAATGAATTCTGCTCTCTGGCGAATTCTCTCATCAGAAACAAAGTGCAGATGTACGTACGAATGTAAGATATTAATTTCACAGTGTAAACAGCTTCAGTGAATTTAATGGGAGTTTTTGAGAGTGCTTGAATTTTGCTCTCTTTCTGTACAATGAAAGTGCTATAATTAGCAGGGGTGTGGAATCCAGTCACACGACTCGAGACTTGACTCGGACTCGAGTCCCAAATTTGATGACTTGCAACTCGACTCGACATAATTAAAGAAGACTTGAGACTCGACTTAGACTTTGACGGCAATAACTCAAGACTTGACTTGGACTTGAGCCCTGTGACTCGAAAAGACTTTATGATCAGAACAAAGTCGTTATAGACGTGTCCCTGCAGCGTGCTTGCGCTTGACTGACGATAAGCCAAAGACTGCGTTTAGGGAGCGCTAGATATATAGGCTAGTATAAATTAATGGAGTAATAACACAACTTACGACAAAAGAACCGAGATAAGAAAAAAAATATTTCGTCTAGTAGCGATCTCCGCTCGTGAAAAGCGCTGCCCTGCCCGTTTGATCGCCGCCCAGCAGACACACGGAGCGGGCATGAGAAACGAGAGGCGCGGCCGTGATCACTGGTGCTCGCCTCATCATCACCGTGACCGCTGCTGTTAAATATTCCTCACTTCCGCCACAACCCTCGCACTCTGCTTTAATTTTCATTTTTATTTGTAATAAACACCTCTGGGACCTGTTTTTGTCAGATCTCCACTGTTTTTGTTCGATCAGTTACATATTTTATTTGCATGTGCATTTTATTTTATTTAAACCTCCATTAAGTTATGGTGCAACAGGATTAACTATTAATATTAACGATTAAATATAACTTAAATCCAGGATCAAAATGATGGGTTAAAATGTAAACCTGCTTATTTTTAAAGGTTTAAAGTTTGGTGCAACAGAATTATTAGATAAACCTTGATTTAATCTAGATTTTAAATTAATCACTACAAACCATTTAGCTATAATTTGAAGAAGACAAATGCACATTAGGCCTAATGTCTGAAGTGGGCAAGCGGCAATAGGCCTAATGATCATTTAAAATATAATTTGAACAAAATGAGTATTGAATATATAACTATAAAGGCTGCTCATCATTTCTCCCTCTTCACCAGGCACTCATGCCACTTCCATTTCTTTCTGGATAAATAAATGAATTCACGTGTTGTGAATCAGTCTGTAGGACTATAGCGCACATAGCCCCTAAATTTAGCAATCAACTATGCATACTATAAACTTAACATTTAATGTACAACATTTTTTTTTCGATTAAATGATTTTGTCTTTGTTACTCGTAGTTATAAAGTATGGTAGCACAGCATTTTTGAATGATTGTCTTCATGGGTTTGTCTGCATCCATATTGCATGTTTCCTCTCACTTGTAAAGAATGCTTACAGTTATTTCTTCTAGCTCTTTCAAAGCAGTTCTTTCTGCGTTTCCGCTCACATATTTTTAAATCTGCTTCATTGAGGTTCCAAATAATGGCTCATTGGCTTCAATATAACACCTAGAAGCATATATTCTTATGCACACATGCAAAATATGTTGCAGTTGTTATTTCTCTGAAATTAAGTTGTCTTTGCTATTCTGTTTTTTTTCACTGCTTGTCCTATTTTGGCACAATCCCTAAATTGAACTTGAGTAGTTATACTGAGGGCACCCATCTCACATGAAATTTAACTATGTCAAACATATTCTACCTGCCTTCCTGAAATAAATGACTAGAATTTGATATGGTAATTAATACTGAGACACTAATTTGGGCAAAGAGCACTAATGACTTGTTTAAGACTTGAATCTTAAAGTTGATGACTTGCAACTCGACTTGGACTTGTCTGTCTTGACTTGGGACTTGACTTGAGACTTGTCTGTCTTGACTCGGGACTTGACTCCAGACTTGAATGCAAAGACTCGAGACTTACTTGTGACTTGCAAAACAATGACTTGGTCCCACCTCTGATAATTAGTAATGTACAATGTTTTTATTAAATTCACATTAAATACAAATCAGTCGTATTAAAAATATTTAATGGCATGACACCCATATCTGGTGCTTAAGTAAAAAGACGGGTTTTTATGCATATATAGATTACACTATTAGGCTATTTTGCCCATTGCCCATTATAGATCAACTAACATAATAAAGGTGCAAAGGGCATTTACTTACACATATTTGAGAATCGAAATATTTCATAATATAGTAAACACGTTTGAGAATATATCGAATGAAAAGGAAAAACATGGCACCTCATGGCAAATAACTCTCTGAGGATTTGAGAATTAGAATTGTTGCTCTCCACAAAGATGGCCTACACTATACGAAGATCTGTAACACTCTTAAACTGAGTTGCAGTACCTTAGCCAGGGTCATACAGAGGTTTTCTAAGACGAGTTCCACTCGGAACAGGCCTCGCAAGGGTCAATCAAAGAAGTTGAGTCCTTGTGCTGTGCATCAGGTACAGAAGCTGGCTTCAAAAAACAGACGCATGAGTGCTGCCAGCATTGCTTTAGAGGTTGCAGAAGCGGGAGGTCAGCTTGTCAGTGCCATACGCCGCACACTGCAACAAGTCGGTTTGCATGGCCATCGTCCCA